CTCCTGGGCTCGCCCCCCAGGCCCGGGCCGGCGCCCCACCTTCGCAGGAGTAGGAGCCGCTGACGTTCTCGCAGTACTGCCCGTCGCCGCAGGGGGGCGTCTCGGCTGCGCACTCGTCCACGTCTGCAACAGGGGCGGTGACCGCCCGGCAGGGGAGGGGCCGCCACAGGTCACAGCAGACCCCTCCCCGTCCCTCTGCGCCCTCCGCAGCAGTGGGTTTCTGTGCGTGGCGGGTCGGGTTTGGGGTTGCCGAGGCCCCTCACGAGCAGGGGCGGCGATGAGGGGCCAGCAGGCCACGCGGGGACCAGGCGGGCGCGAGTGTCCCTGCCACGGGGCTGTGCACCCCAGGTCCGCTGGGTGCGGGGCGCGGCCTGCCGCACAGAGGGGCACAGGCTGTGGCTGGGCGGCTGTGGGGGCGGAGCGGGGGGGCAACGGCCACCCCTCCAGCGCCAGGGTCAGCACGGCTCTGGGGACACGCTGCTGAGGGGGCGCGCAGGGGGAGCCGGCAGGGCGGGGCCTGGGGGGGCCGGAGGAAGGGGGGGCAGCCCGGCCCGGCCCGGCCCCTGTCCAGGCCTGGCTGCCGGCCCCCGCAGGAGCCCAGGCCTCAGCTTCCTGGCCCGGCCCGCGACAGCCCGGGCGCGGGCTGGATGCGAGTTCTGTCCGGGCTGCGGCCAGGGCACAGAGGTCCAAGGATCTCTGGGACCAGAGCTGGGCACACGGGCGGTGGCCAGGCGGGCTGGGGGCGGGCGTCTCGGCCCCTCACGCAGCCGGCCAGCAGCACCTGGACCCTGCCCCGAGTCTGACGGGCGCAGTGTGGCTGGGGCGTGGGAGAGGCCAGTCGGCGGGGCAGCGCAGGGACGCCCAGCCCCTCGCCTTACCCAGGCAGGCGCCCTCGGGGTCCCGGCGCTCCCAGCCCGCGTCACACTGGCCGCAGTCCAGGCTGGTGGGCCCCGTGCACGTCTTGCAGGACTCGTCACAGGCTGCGGGGCAGAGCAGACGAAGGTCGGGCTGCCCCCGGCCGAGGCCAGGCAGAGCTGGCCAGGCCAGAGCCTCCCCGCGGGACTTGCCCCCACTCCCCAGGGCTGGGCCCCGGGCTGGGCCCCCAGCTGCTGCCCAGGGTGGTCACGCCTGCCGGGGCCTCCGGCAGGCAGGTGTGGGAAGGCGCCCGGCACGCGCGGACGCCGGAGGCCAGTGCCCTGGGCCGGGGGCGCGTCCCTGACGCCGAGGTGGCTTCCCTGGCCAGCGAGGACCAGGCAGAAGGGGCCCTGGGGTGCAGCCTGGGGCCACAGAGACTAGGCCGAGGCCACCCTGGGCCAGCCACGCACACCGGGGGCCCTGCTCGACCGGCAGCCCGAGGGAAGGGGGCGCAGACCGTGGGCCTCGAGGTCCTGTCCGTGGCCCCCTCGGGCGCTGCCCGACAGCCAGCACGGGGCAGCGCAGAGGCCTGGCGCCGGTCACGGGGACCCGGCCGGGCTGCAGGTCGTGGCCCAGCCCCCGAGGTGCGGCCTGCGGCAGCAGCCCCAGCACGTACCTGAGCAGATGCTGTGGGTCTCGTTCCTCAGCACGTGGAAGTAGCCGTCCACGCAGTCGGCGCACAGGGGCCCCCGGTACCCCATGTGGCACTGGCAGGACCCGTCGCCCTGCCTGCTGCCGTCGCCGCTGCACTGGCCGTTCCCGCTGCAGGGTCGCTCGGAGCCGCCCTGGCATTCTGGGGACACGGCTGCTCAAGGGGCGCCCGCGGCCAGCCCCG